AATTTCAATCGATGCAACATATTAATAACTATAGTAAAAAAATGACAGTTATTAGCATTCATGTATGTTGAAGGAGTGTTAAATACCAATGAAATTTTTTCTTATTATTTGGTTACTAAATGTTTCAGTGTTTTAATTCATCTATAAGGTTCTTAGTTATTTCTTATAGGGATCTTAATTATTTCTATAAACTTGGTTTATTTTATTTTAATTTTCTTAGTCATTTCATATTTTTGATTTGACCTTTTCAAAGAATTCTAATAATTGCAATATTCTGTGATTAGTTTGTTGCCTAACGACATCTATGATCCTATGAATTTCTAAAACATACATGTGATATTTCTGTGAAACAAGAAAGCAATCCATCATGATATTCTCTATTCTAAGTTATTATCTCTCGTTATAATATATTTTGTTAGAGTAAAACTCATGAAATGTCCATACCAGCGTTATAATACCTATTATTATATAAAAAAGACAAATGGAGATGAACCTTGAAGCTCTTTAAAAAACCAAGTAGTCATACCCCGTGCTTCCTCCATGATCTATATGGTGTTCCAATGAAATGAAATTAGAACGCGTTTAACAATAACCAAAGTTTACAGCAGAGTTAATTAGTTGACAAAATAATTAGGCATGTTGACGAATACAGTTTATATATATATATATTTGTAAAAAAGTTTAATATTTTGGATATTTTTGAATTGTCACGAATATAATTTATTGGATGGGATACTGATAAGAAGTAAAGATCTAAAAGCATTTTTGATATTCGTTAGTAGTATTAGTAGAGAATGCCATATTACTTTTTTAACATTGCAAGTGATCTTGAAAATTGAAACTAAGACAGTTCTATCAAATTTGGGATGATTTAACTCCTGACACCTAGAGGTATAAAGTTACTAATTAGAATATTTACCTTTCCTGTCAGTAAATGCTGAGCAAAATCTGGCGGCATTAAAAATGGCGGTTGTCCTTGAGAGGAGGCAGCAAGTAACTAGATTGAAACAAAATATATTAAACGTAAATTATGCAATTAAAATACATAATGTTTGTACGAGGCTCATGAGACAGATATTTTCGAAATGATTTTAAATCCACAGTTTCGTATTTCTATATTTTTTATGAAGTTTTCTTTTTTATTTGTAATATTACTTTCTTAATCAACCTTAATAAGTAAGTTCGTTTTCATAAGTAATTATGTAAAATGTTCTTGAAAAATGAGTTTGATGGGGTACGTTTTCATAATGGTTTGCACAATTAATAGAAAATATAAAAGAAATTTCGAATAAAAAGAATATAAACATTCATTCATAAACTGAGTGGGCATGGCATGGCCTGGTGGTTAGGGCGCTCGACTCGCAATCCCCGTCATAAAACATACTCACCCTTTCAGATGTGGGAGCGATATAATGTGACGGTCAATCTCACTATTTGTTGGTAAAAGAGTAGCCCAAGATTTGGCGGTTGGTAGTGTTGACTAGCTGTCTTCCATCTTGTCTGTCATTGCTAAATTAAGGACGGCTAGCGCAAATAGCTCTCGCATAGCTTTGCGCAAAACTTACAACAAACCAAACAATCCTAAACAGGCCCAAACTGAGAGAAAACGTTTTGTTTGTTTTCTTAAACACAAAGCTGCACAATGGGACATCAGTGACGTAACCACAAGGAGTATTAGCATTATAAGCCCTCACGATTCCCGCTGAGCATCCGATCCAGTGGGGTGGGAAAATAGGATATTAAGATAAACATCAAATGGCCTGTATTTGTTTGTTTTTTGAATTTCGCGCAAAGCTACACGAGGGCTATCTGCGCTAGCCGTCCCTAATTTAGCAGTATAAGACTAGAGGGAAGGCAGCTAGTCATTACTACCCACCACCAACTCTTGGGCTACTCTTTTACCAACGAATAGTGGGATTGACCGTCACATTATAACGCCCCCACGGTGAAAGGGCGAGTATGTTTGGTGGGACGGGGACTCGAATCCGCGACCCTCAGATTGCGAATCGAGCGCCCTAACCACCTGGCCATGCCGGGCCGATATTATTGTGACTGACTTTCATATGGTAAATCAATGCATGTTTTTGTTCAATCACAATATAACTGTTAATGATTTCATACACTTTTTTTGGATTCATAAAACGCACCAGGAAGAACAGTTCAGTCACAAATAAAATAAAGTAAAATATTAAAACTTGTTCACAGGAAATCAGTCATTGACCTTCTTCAACGTAGCTGGATCTGTTTGTTTACTAATTCATCTGCACTACACTAGGTACATAAAGGGCTGAACGGCCAGCTCAGAGTCTCCCATTGTTCAGACATAGTGGTCTTAATTTTTTACTGTGGAGTGGCGGGCTGTCTGAAGCAGCTACTCTTAACCTAATAATGGGATAGACTCTTATAACGCACCCACAGTTAAAACCGCGAGACGTGTTTGTTAGCATCACGTCTCAAACTCTAGATCCTCGGTTCTCCAATCCGATCATGTACAAAGTATTAGTATCCACTCTAAGCAAAACAACAATACCAAAATCTAGTTAGACTTATTTGGAAGAACACTGAATATTTTAGACAATACTTGTTTAAGAAAATACGTATATACTTTACTATGATATGATGCAGGAATTGAAATTTTCAATCTAAATAGCACCTTTCGAACAGACGGGATAACACGTCAAGTCAGAGATTCTAGGAGATCAGATATACTCTTTCCTAGTTCCAAACTACTACCCAGAGAGAAAGGAGACAGTACCATCCGTCGTGGCAAGAGCTTTGTCTGGCTCTTTGAGCCAATTGATAGGATTAATTGCTACTTTTATAACGCATCTAAAACCAAAAGTGAGAAGTGTATCCAACGGCATCATCTACAGTATCTTGGACCCTTGAACAAGCCACGAAACAAAAAACTTATCGTGAGCCTCCCAGTGGTACAGCGGTATGTCTACGGACTTACAACGCAAGAATCGGGTTTCGATACCCGTGGTGGGCAGAGCTTAGATAGCCCATTGTGTAGCTTTGTGCTTAATTACAAACAATCAATCAATCAATCACTCTTATCGTGCATGTTACGTTTAATTTTTTTTGTCTCTTGGAGGGGGGGGGAGGTTTATTTCCACAATGTAGGCAAATTACTCAAAATATACATACACCGTTCACTTAAAATAAAGAAAAACGTGTTCATACTGAGTTTTTATTGACCACGTCCCAGGTGGAATAATAAAACATCTATTTGAACCATCCCGAATTTTGTGAATGAAGAGAAACGATGTTTCAGTACTTCGCATGCTGAAATATTATAAAACGTTCTTTTACATAAACGACTTTGAAACTTATTTTGTATTCTCAGGACGTCTCTTCTCTATCTAACTATCCTTATTTACAGTACAGCGTTCATAAGATTCAAGAACCCTTATTTTTAAGTAAATAAGATTGTTTTCGGATATTTGCGCAAATCTGTCCAATGGCTCAGCGGTAAGTTTGACGGCTTATAATGCTAAAAACCGGGTTTAAATACCTGTGGTGGGCAAAACACGGATAGCTCATTGTGTAGCTTTGTATTTGAAATAAAACAAACAAACAGACCCAACCTGACAAGAAACGTTTTTTTGTTTTCTTAAACATAAAGTTGCACAATGGGACATCTGTAATGTAACCACCATGAGTATTAGTGTTATAAGCCTTCAAGCTTTCCACTAAGCAACCGATGGAGTGGGGTTGGGAAAAGAGGATGTTAAGATAAACTAGCATTTCCTAATTTTGAGCTGGTAGACTAGAGGAAAGACAGGTAGTCAACAGCACTCACCGCTAACTCTTGGGATACTCTTGTTTGACCGAATGGTGGGGTTTAACATTGACCCTTATAATACACCAACGGACAAAAGTGAGGAGCGATTTTGTTTTGGCAGTAATAGGATGCGAGCGTTTGGACCGCAGATCCAAAGTTCAACATGGTAACCACAAGGCCACACTCGGCCTAGATATAGAAGAGACTAGACATTTGTAACGTGGTATGAAGCCAATCGGTGCTGTAAGTTACAAAATATTTATTTTAAATCGAGAATAATTCTCCAAGGAAGCATAATCCCTAAAATAATTAAAAAAAAACATAGTTTAGCATAACATGATAAAGGTCAAAATGTGATGTGTAAGAAGTATTTCTGGTTTTAAATTTTTAAAAATACAACACTGTTCAGTTGTTTCGATTTTTGGGCAACATCTTCATGTTGTCAACCAACCAAAAAAAATATGAAATTCATAAATTTATAAAACGTTTAGGTTAAAAAGGTGAAACTTTGTTCATTAGTAGACCCAAATCTTACTCATCTCTTAAATTGCTTATCAGGTCGACTGTATTATAACATATTAAGAATTATTTAAAAGTTTACTTGTATGGGATATTGTAACCATGATAAGGTCTAGTATTGAGTGAAAAACCTCGTTGGTAGCAGCATAGAATAAACAGGTTATGGTTGAAAGGCTATCATATTCACACTATTCTTGCTGGAAAGCCTCAGATCACGATGTGATTTAAAGTATTATTAGTTTCGTTGTATTGTAATATTAAACATAGATTACTACTGACTGAATATTTTGTTCAATTCTTGATATGCACAACAAATTACAGATATTTTAATTTTATTATAATGTGTACAGATTACAAGATTTTAGAAAATGCAAAAATGAACTTATAAAACCAGGAAGTTAAACGAAAAAAAGCTTTCAATTGTAACTGTTAGTTGGGAATACCTGACTAAAAGAAAATTGTCCTTTTGCAGCTGCAGCTGCTAAGGTTGCTGCGGAGGTGGTGGTAATGGTTGAAGAGTTGACCGAGTGACTATTAGTCGAAAATTCATTAGAATATTCTTTAGGGGAAGAACTAGAAATTCTAATTGACTCGTGCTTCAACGACTTCTGGTTTTGACTCTTTTGCATGGTCTCTGTTTCTTCGGGCTCGTCAGATAAAGCCTAGAAAAAAAAATAGGCTTTCAGTTTTTCTCTTATGGAAAAAAACGAGAAAACGTTTTACTAAGTCAAATCATAGCAGAGCTCTTTGGAACTTTATAAAAATGTGATTCAAGCAAACTGAATAAAATATAAATAACAGTGACATATTGTATACAAACCCTAATATGAGAAAGAGAGATACTTATGAAACGATATGGAATAATATCGCCGACAAAGAAAAACTTAAAGTTTGTATTTGTAACACACCGGCTGAAAACATAATAAGTTGAATTTATGTGTAACATTACTTCTGAAAACTCTGAACTTATATATTCAACAAAAGAGACTACGCGAGTCTTAATTCCCAAACAAAGGCCTAGATGGGTATACAAACTTGTAGGATCACATCAGTGGAAGTAGCCACATTAATGAGCCCGGCACGGCCAGGTGGTTAGGGCACTCGACTCGCAATCTGCGGGTCGTGGGTTCGAATTTCCGTCCCACCAAATATGCTCGCCCTTTTATCCGTGGGGGCGTTATAAAGTTTCGATCAATCCCACTATTCCTTGGTAAAAGAGTAGCCCAAGAGTTGGCGGTGGGTGGTGATGACTAGCTGCCTTCCCTCTAGTCTTACACTGCTAAATTAGGGACGGCTAGCGCAGATACCTCTCTTGTAGTTTTACGCGAAATTCAAAACAAACAAACCACACTAATGTTTATGAAAAATGATAATTGAAAACCGAATTCCAGTTGAAGCCTTAGAGAAGTTTCATTTCCAAGCAAAGTTTGTGTTAGAGTTGCACATCAATCGACATGATACACACAGCTTAATAAGTGCAATATCTATGGAACAAAATATCGAAAAGATAACCGAGAATGAGTTAAGCTGAGCACTTATGGAAAAATGTTTACCCTGTAAACAACGTTACATCTATACATCATGGCATCAAGATGTTATATATTAATTAACTTTACAAGAGGAGTGTTAAAAAGTGCCTTTATGCTACAGGACAACTGAACGTCTATGCAACACGAACTTGACTATGCAGTAACGTATCCTGTGATGTAAACGCACAACATAATTGTGAAAAACTGATCTTCTGTACACGGTAATAAAAAATCTAATAAACTGAATTTCATTGTAACAATACTACAACAGTTTTAATGGCATTTAGACGCGTTACATATTAATGTAAAAAGAAACATAGAGGCTGAAGCACTACGCTAGTGTTATAACTGAAGAAGAGCTGGAAAGTGTATGAGTTAATAAAACCTTTATATTTTAACATGGCACTTCAGCTTGCACGTTTATTTTCATATTAATAGTACAACAGTGAAACAAACTAAGTTTAAGCGCAACATAACAGCGAAAATAAGAAAACAAACTAAAACTTAAAAAACCTAATTTATTCTTAAAGAGTTATACAAATTTAAAACGAGATTCTTAGTGTAACAAGCTAAAGTTTTAATAATACATCATAGTGTGTCAGAGTGAACAACACGACATCTAGATAATGCAGAGAAAACATTAAATTTCTGCGCATATTTACCTGAATTTGTTAATTCTAAATATCATGAGAGGAAACAAGAAGGCGAACTGATGAATCGTATCACAGGCTAGTACGATACCTTTCAAAATGTATATTTCTCAAATTTTATTTTCGTCAGTAGAAAATATATTTTTTTAATACTTTGGCACGTGAAGCTTTAAGAAATAATCTAGTAACATAAATATAATATACAGAAATACAATACTGAAATTCTTCGGTATAAGTGACAGCTGGAAGATGTAACGTTTTATGGTGTTTTGTTCACTGAGCGTTACTGTGAAACCCTAAGAAAGAGACTTGCCAGGTTGAGTGCCTGCTCTGAGTCAGTGTCATCTTCCGGAATGAGGTCCTCGGAATCCTGTACAGTATTGCTTTCGTTACTGTCACAAGAGGATTCACCATTCATTCCTAGAGCTAAAGAAAGAAAACAAACGCTCTTTACTTATAGTAATACAGTCGAGGTAGGATAATCATAATTATGCACTCATTATCGTCTGAAAAAATACGTAAAGTAATTCAACTGAAAACAATTATTAAAAGGTAAGCTGAATTGATAACTATTAAGATATTAGTTTGTTTTTACTGAAATGTAGATTTTTAAGTAATATTGGTACCTAAAATTCTCTGTCTTTCACGGAAACTTCATATGAAATTAACGTAAAATTAAAAGCCCGTAAATGGCACAGAACTAAGTCTGCGAACTTTTAACGCTAAAAAGCTGGTTTCGATACTCGTTCTGGGCATAGCACAGATAACCCATTGTGTACTTTTGTGCTTAACTACAAACAAACAAAACTACACAGGGTGATAAACTGAATATTTTATATACTTAAAACTTAAAGGAAAAAATAGGGGCAGTTCATACCAATTTTTCAACTTACTTTGCAGCACTGGGACTGTAAGGAATTTTAAAAAGAAAGACTTATGAACAGATATGGCTAACTGAACGAGGACATCACCGAAACTAGAGAGTATTCTATCAAATCATACCAATTCAAAACTTTTGCCATTGAATCCAGTGTCTAAGAATACGCTTTCTTACTTTTCAGGTTTAGAAAACAGTAGAATATCGTTATGTTTTATTGTAGCTCAAGATTACCAGTTTCGAGTGCCACAAAACGTTTTGTCTACTTTTGATACATCGGATACCAATTAAGATGTTTTTGAAAATTATTTATACAGACCCTGTTTTAGTGAGGTATAGTTATGGTAGTGGAAGATATAGCTCCTGCAGTAGTTTTATAGAAGAATAGGTGTTTAAAGATAATGGCTTATCAAACCAATTACTGGCGATGGCATATTCCTGGAGGATGCAATATTGAATAATATCAATAAGTAACTAGTAATTAATGATGACAGTAGGAAGTTCGGATGATTGTTAGATTTCTATTTCACATGAGTCTACAAAGTGTCCAGAGAACCTTGACAAGTACGTTAATGACAAATTGTACTACGCCTTCAAGATGTAAAGCCATTAAACTAAAAATGGTATGTTTAACAATGCTTACAACAGAAAACATGTTTAACACTATAAATCTTACACACAGACGTGCTAGTTACATCCATTTGTTATCCATCATTGTTTGAGCTAGTAGCTGTGTCTAACAAGTTTGGCCAATCCCACATTCTAGCAGGTAAAGCCAGATGCACTGGAGGGGAAGGAATGACCCTAAGGATAAAATTTATGCATCTGATAATAGCTTTTCTTGATAGTCTGGGCAAGCTATATGGTGATAAAAATTTATTATTTTAGCAAGGTCACAGTTATATTCAGCGGCCACAACTCGCCTTGAGTCACAAGGCGAGTTAGTTATTACAAGTAATATGTGATACTGAAATAGTACTGGAGGCATATCCGATCCTTTTCTGTTGGTATGTAAGTTTGGTTTGTTTTTGAATTTCGCGCAAAACTACTGCGATAGCTTTTGTTTGTTTGTAGTTAAGCACAAAGCTACGCAATGGGCTATTTGTGCTCTGCCCACCAGGGGTATAGAAACCCGGTTTCTAGCTGTATAAGTCAGCAGACATGCTGCTGTGACACTGAGGTAGCCGTCCCTAATTTAGTAGTGATAGACTAGAGGGAAGGCAGCTAGTCAACGCCACCCACCGCCAACTCTTGGGCTGCACTTTTCTCAACGAATTGTGGGATTGATTGTCACGATATAACACCCCATGACTAAACGAGCGGGTATGTTTGGTAACAGGGATTCGAACCCGCAACTCTCAGATTTCGAGTCGAAAAACCTAACCTACAGGCTATGCCAGGCTGGCATATAAGTAAATAAGATAGATAAAAAATTGGGAATTTAAAAACCTGCAAATAGGAATCGTAAAAAAATGAAGAAAAAACAAGGCTAGAGATACTGTAGACATTATTTAATCAAACTACAAACCCTTAGTTCGGCTCCATGCTGTTATCTAGAATCACATTTGGTGGAGTCAAAAGAGGGATTTGTAGTTTGAGTAAATAATGTCTTAGTATCTCTAGCCTTGTTTCCTTACTTTTTATACGATCCCTACTTGCTGGTTTTTAAATTCCCAGTTTTTATTTATCTTGTTTGCTGGCTTTATTTATGCTCAATTATGGGCAAAGGATTACCTGATATGGTAGCTAACTCTATACATTGTAATGATAATAAAAGTAGCTAGTAGTTAGCTGATACGGTTCATGATGATTTACTGTAGCTATTGACTATTGGATCACAATAGTTCGAGGTGTAAAGTGTCAAGCTGCTTTGTTTGTTTGTTTGTTTTGGAATTTCGCGCAAAGCTACACGAGGCTATCTGCGCTAGCCGTCCCTAATTTAGCAGTGTAAGACTAGAGGGAAGGCAGCTAGTCATCACCCAC